ATAACCAGGATGAATCTCACAGACATAATATTGAGTGTTAGATGCCAGTCATAAATGAATACACATAAATGAATCTTACTTTTATGTGCTAACTAAAACTCTAGGGCATGTTTTTAGAGTAAATCTTCAAGCAAAAGCAAGAAAGGGATTACCAAAAGAGTCAGGATTGTGGTGAAAAATTATCAATGTAGTTCACATTAATAGATCGCAAGTAAATGGATGAAAAATAATGTTTCATGCAACAGTAAGCATAAGAAACCCAAAGGGCTATTTTGATGTCAGATGAAGTAGAGTTTAAGACCAAGAGTACTACCAGAGATAAAAGATAATGACGAGGTCATAAAAATCATAAATCCTAATAATGGATTTCAAAATACATGGAGTGAAATTTGACACAATTATAGGGAGAAATAATTTCATAATCATGGTTGAAGATTTTAACATACCTCTCTCAGCACTTGATAGAACTTGACAAAAATCAGTAAAGGCATAGATTTAAACAACACTCTTAATGACTTTGACCTAATTGTTATTCATAGAACACTACATCTAACAACTTCAAGTGCACATGGCATGTTGAACAAGATAGGCCATAAACTGTGCCATAAAATTAATCTTAATAAATGTAAAAATATCAAAATCATTTTTTCTGACCACAATGGAATTAAATGGGATATTAATAATATTTATAAAACCCCAAATATTTGAAAATCAAACTCACTACCAATAATCCATGGGTCAAAAAAGTCACACCAGAAATCAGAAAATATTTCAAAGTGAATGATAATGCAAGTACAATAGAAGAAATATTTAGAATGAAACTAAAGTGAAAAAGGAAAGTTTGTCATTTCAAAGACTCATATTAGAATAGCAAGTTAAAATCAATGTCCTAAGGCTTTACCTTAAGAAGCTAGAAAAAGAAGAGGAAAGTAAACCCAAAGTAAGTAGAAGAAAGGACATAATAAAAACACAAATCAATGAAATAGAAAATAAACATTAGAAAAAAATTAACAAAGACAAAAGTTGGTTCTTTGAGAAGACCAATGAAATTGATAAACTCCAAGATAGATTGATCAAATAAAAATAAGATAGAATACAAATGAAAAATACCCAAAATGAAAGAGGGCTTATCACGGGAGATCCAATAGACCTTAAAAGGAAAATACAGTAGTCCCCTTATCCATGTTTTTGCTTTCCATGGTTTCAGTTACCCCAGCTCTGAAAATATTAAATGGAAAATTCTAGACATAAACAATTTATAAGTCTTAAATTGCTTGCCATTCTGACTGCGCTATAAAATCTCATGCCAGTCTGTCCAGGAGGTGAGTCATCCTTTTGTCCAGCATATCCACCTGTATATGCTCCCCGCTCATTTGTCACTCAGTAGCTATCTGAACTGTTGTGGTGTTGCAGGGCTTTCTGTTCAGGTAACCCTTATACTAGCCTAAGGGTACCTCTATCATTCCTCTCACTTCATCTCATCGTGTAGGCATTGTATTATCTCAACAGCACAAGAAGCGTGAGTACATTTTGAGAGACCACATTCATGTAATTTTAGTATAGTTATAATTGTTCTATCGTTGTTGTTAATCTCTTACTGTGCCTAATTTATAAATTAAACTTCATCATAGGTATGTATAGGGAAAAACAGGATTATATAGGGTTTGGTATTGTCTGAAGTTTCAGGCACCCACTGGGGGTCTTGCAACGTATCCCATGGAGATAAGGGGGACTACTATAAGAGAATATTATGAACAACTTTATGCCAACTAATTTGAGAACTTAGGTTAAATGAACAAATGCCATGTAAAATACAGCTTACTAAATTTTAAAGTAAAGGAGATTAAGTAGACGTGAAAACAAAATGCAAAGGATGAACCAGGATTAGATCAGGTGAAATTGCTATGGAAGTCATTACTGAGACACTGGTGAAATTTGAATATGCACAATATATGATTAGTGTTGCATCAGTGTTAAATATTTTGAACTTGATATTTCATGATAGACAGGAGCAGAAACTTGATGGTAGCTGAAGTCTGCTACTGTACAATTAAGGTTAACACTGGAATTCTGTGGAATCAGAACTTTGGAGATTACTTTTGAGTTTGGAAACCATTCAAGTAAAAACTTTAGGACTTTTGCACTATGACACAACCCAATTAAAATCAAAGATTGTAAAATAATTGCAGGTAAGATTAAGTTCATGCATGCAAATATGATTGAGTTCAAGGTACCTGCCACTTTGTACTTTAGGATGCACAGAACACATGCTAATGGGATGACAAATCAAAGCAGGACCAAGTTATCCATTCCAAGGTTTAGGGTCAAGAAATTTAATGGAACCACCACTTCTGAGCAGGAGGGAGGTTTCTGGCACACCAGTACTCAAAGAACTAGAAAAGCCAGAGTAGAAAATAAAAGAAAAAATTGGCAAAACTTTAAATATCCGATTAAGAGAATATGGCTGTGTGACATACAGTTACAGAATGAGATTAATCATATTTATTATTCTTGACTGTTTAAGGAACCAGAAATGCTCATAGTGTGAAAAGGGCAGAACATGTCAACAGTAAATTTTAAAATACAGGAAGTTTTTTTTTTTTTAAATTTGGAAATATACCAGAATGTTAGGTGATTATGAGCCACAGAATACAAATGTTGTGTCCTTCCCAATTTTCTCAAAAAAATGTGCTTTTATAATAAAATGACGTGTTAAACTAAAAAACAGGTTTGTTTTTTGCTGCTTGAAATGCTGTTTATAAGACCATTTCTATTAACCCTAAATCTCTGTATTAGCAGGTTTTATGTGAGCATACTTAGTGGTATCAACTGCTCAAGTAAGTAAAATTGTTTTATTAAATTTATTGGGGTGACTGATAATACCATTATATAAGTTTCAAGTGTACAAGTCTATTATCATCTTTTTTTTTTTTTAAGATTTTTATTGGGGACTTGGGGAGATGGGAACAGTGCTTGGGAATTGAGGGAAGGGGAACAGACAAGTTGCTGTCATTTTGTTCTTCAATCTAGTTGTGGAGGACGTTGCTCCATTGGCCCAAGTTGGCACCATCATTGTGCTCTTCCAGGGCGAGGCAGATCAGTCGCCGGCTTCTGGACGGCCACTCACGGCAGCTGCTGGCTGCTGGCTACACACGGTAGCCCATGGCAACCCACTGCCACAAGGGCTGCAGCCTACACTGTTGCCGGCAACTCATGGCAGCCCAGCTCCAGGTTGAGCTGTTGTTCAGCATCTTAGTTGTGGAGGGCAGTGTCACTGGCCCTCATATGTGGGATCCGAACCGGGGCCCTCTGGCGTCCCAAGCCAGCTCTTACCCATCACACCACTCGGCCGGCCCCTATTATCATCCTATATTGCTTTGTCACTACCCAAAGTCTAGTTTCCTTCCGTCGCCACGTACTTTACCTCCTTCACTCTCCTTCTCCCCCACTCCCTTCCCTTCATACTGTTGTCTGTGTCTGAATTTTGTTTTAATGGTTTGTTGCTTTGTTTTATACCCCACGAGTGAAATTACATGGTTCTTGTCCTTTCCGGTCTGACTTATTTTGTTTAGCATGATATCAAGATCCATGTTGTCGCAGATGGCAGTATTTCCTTTTCTTATGGCTGAGTAGTGTTCCATGGTATATGTATATCTTCTTTATCCAATAATTGAAAACTCTCATATAGAAATTATTTAATTTAAAAAAAACATAAACCTTCTGTAATTACATCATGTCTGGTTACCTCAATAAACAAGTTAGCACAACTAATTTAATCTCTCCAAAAAACTAAACATTATTAGGATATATTGCATTGGACTGTAAACCAGTGATGCCCTCTAGAGTTATTGATGAATGTGCAGTTTACTTTCCCTGTTAGCTAAACTTCCCACGGCTGTTGTTTCAGGCTATAGTACTTGTCTCCCACCTCAATATCGTAGCATCTAGGGCCATGTTACTCAAATCATCAGCAGCATTACCTAGGTTTTTAGACATGCAGAAGATTAGGACCCACTCTTGACCTACAAAATCAGAATCTGCTTTTTAAAAAGATCCCCCAAGTGATTCATAGGCACATTACACTTTGAGTAACACTGCTCCCCGCTACAAAGGAGTAATTTCTTCTGCCTTAACACTTGTGAAGCCTGCTCTTGCAGTTGTCCAGTTGAAACTGTTTTCCCACACTGCCCTTAACATCCCCTATTTCCATCTTCCCCTTTGCACATTTTTCTGCGTTTCCAGATCATAAGAGTCGTGTGGGAAATGAGATAACTGAGTCCTTTAAGTAAAATTCAAATGCTTCCATTTCCATGCTGACCCCCTTTTCCTACAGAAGGGACGTAACAGCTCTACTGTTAAAGCTCCAGGGCTCCAGGTACTTCTGAAGTTCTTAAGTGCAGAGGTAACTGAAAATCTGATTGTCTGCTGATGACATTTACAGGGCATGCCTGTATAGTAAATAAGTTTCCTAATAAGCTATCCAGATTTTGTATACCCAAGTGATTTTTGCCCTTTTCAAATGAGTCACCCTGGGAAAGCGAATAAATGCAATAAATGCAATTTCCTTTGTTTAAAACCTATCACTTTTCTTTCAGAATTATCAGTAAAGATAAAAAATAAGAAATTCCTTCCTCTGTCTCATTATTCTCTAGCCATATCTAAAGTCTGAACAAAAATAACTCCCAATTTAATCCCTTCCTCATTTAATCATTTTGTCACAGAACTATCTGATAACTTGCTATTTGAGTAATTTCCACAAACATAGTACACCAAAGTCTGTAATGACTTACCACCCTAGTGGATACTCATAAGTACTCAAGACCACTTTTTAAAAGTTACAGAACAGATAAAAGTTTTGAAACACTCTCCTTTGAAGAGAGTATTCATTTAGATACAGAATATGGCATATCTCCTGTTAAAAAAGTCACAGCACTTAATAGTTGGCACATATTCTATTTTTTTTCCACTTATAATACTTAAATTAAGAAAATGGCAAGGCAGAAAAACAAATTTCATCTTTAAAAAAATTAAAACACCCAACACACTTCAAGAAATCTACTTCAATTCCAAGAGATTAATCCAGAATTAACAGTATCATTTTCTATTTCTACTTGTGAAATAGAAAAAAAGCAAAAGTGAAAGACACAAGTTTCTATAATAGACCACATAGACTTTTATGTTTCCTTTATAAATATCTAATCTGTTTCCTTATTTATATACATACTACATATAATACTATCTTAGATTTAGAAGTACTGACAGGATTAAAACATTTTCTTGCATCTTATTTTATTCCTATGAATAATAAAGACATCTCAACATGTAGACTTATATCTTAAATCCAAGTTAATTACAGTGTCCTCCGGAGAATAAAATTTTCTTAAATTATTAATGACCTGATTCCGTTAATAAAACAAAGTTTGAGCATATGTGAAAAAAGAAAATTCTGTTGTCAATTCATGATGATAGGAGAAAAAAAAATGCATTCTTCCACAAAACAAATGATTTTAGAGAACAGTTCTGATAGTATTTCACATGGCAAAGCATCAAAAGGTATGACAAGCGGTGGCTTTGCTTAGGAGAAAAAAATGATTTCAATGTGTTCCTCTTCTGAACTGCTCAGTAACCCCAAGTGATTTTTACATTGGGAGGCAGATTGCTGGCAATAAGTTCATCAAATTTAGATCTATCTTGAACAGGCACATTATAGAAATCAAGAACATCTCTGACCCTGCACATCTCGTGAAGCCTGGAGTTAGGCACTGCATGGCCCAAGTCATTAGCTAAACGTGACAAAAAACTGAACTTCAGATGACCATCTCCCAGGGACGTGTCCTGCCAATTGCTAGGAGCAGATGAGCCAAAAATTTCTTTGACATGAGACTCGAAACGACTCTGGAGATCTTTAGGTGGCATATATGTTCGGCTTCGTAAGGGTGGACACACCAGGATAGGTTCTTTCTTCACTTCTAATGTCTCAGCCACCACGGGCTTTTTCTCTTCCCTGGAATGATCAAAAAGAAGTATGTGAATCTAAATCAACAAATAATTTTCACACTTACTGTTTTGGGCACTGTGGAGAGAATAGTAAGATAGGTCCCTGCACTTGGAAACTTATAGTTGAACTGACTTGGCACAGACAAAAAACAAAAGCTAATTATAGATTTTACAAGATCTAAGAATTCCCAAAGATGGGTGAAGGTAAATCATTCTATCTGTGATTCCCAGACCTCCGAGATCCAAACCTAATCTACCTCTCTAACCTCATCTCACTCACTAATCTACATACACTGTATGCTCTACCCAACTAAACATTCTGTTTCCTACTTTCCTGACATCATGGGTTAGTTCCAGTTCTATCCTATCTGAAATGCCTGTCTTTCGTATCTACCTATAGAAATCCCTCTCATCCTGTAGGTCCTAGGACAAAACTGTTCTCTTCCAGGGACCTTTATTGATTTCCCCAATCAACTACAATTCTAAGCGTCTTTGATCTCCTATCATACTTTATATTGCTCTCAGAGCATATCGCATCCTATCTGAGTTTTCCTTTTACTGACATTCTACCTCTTTTACTGTATCGGGGTTGCTAAGCCCAAACATTATTGACATTTTGGATCAGATAATTCTTTGTTGTGGGGGGCTGTCCTGTTCCCCGTAGGATGCTTAGCAGCATCCCTGGCCTCTCTACCCCACCAATGAATATGCCATAGCATTCCTGTCCTCAACTGTATCACCAACACCTAGACACCTGGCATATAGAAGACACTCTATAAATACTTGTTAAATAAGTGAATGAAACAAACTTTAAGAAGAGTCAAGAGATAACAGCAAATAGTAACCAAAAAAGAAGGGAAGCTAATAATACATAAGCTGATGTCAAATATCCTTCTGGAGTGAAGGAGTTTTTGTTTGAAACCGAAGATGACATACATACATTGTTCCCCGAGGTTCCCATAAGTTTTGTTGTCCTAACACTCTGAGTCAAACAGATTTAGCTTCAAAAGATTCCACGTGGTGCTGTGGGAAAAGCAGTAAACAGGGAGCCAAGAGACCGGGGTTCTAGATCCAGCTCTGCAGTTAACTTGTGAGTTTTGGCCAATACTTCCTCTCTGTAGGACCTCCATTTGCTCATATGTCAGAGTACTTATGCTCTGACAAGAAACTTTGTTTCTAGTGCTGTTATCCTACTTAAGAAAAATGCTGGGAGAGAGTAGGCGTTTAATAACTATCTGTTGAGTAAATCAACGAACAAACCAACAAAATGAGACTGCATTTTATCTCTGAATCTTGCTTGTTTAGAAATACACCGCGCAAGTGAGTTTAGTTTCCAGAACACGTTCACGTTCTAACTGACTCGTTCCAAATGTCACTTGTTTCCTAACATCACACTCGGTGCCTGGAACACAACATCGGCACTATTTGCTTAATAAATTGAGTGAAGTGGCAGGGAAAGGGGGCGGTACTTTCGTTACGGGTGAGAAAACTGAGACCAAGAGGAGAAATGACTGAGCCTCACCACTCACGGAGACCCGCGCAGAAGCTTCAGAATTCAGAACCCTAATGCACTTTCTCGGGTTCCGTTGCAACAGCACGACACTCCCTTTCCAGTTCGTCCCTTCGTCCTCTTCAGTTTCTCTCTTTACTTTCTGTGAATGTGACCCACCGTCTAACGTCCCGCTTTACCTGAATCGAGACCACATTTCTCTGCGTGGCGCCCCTGCAACCATCCACGTGAGGCCTCTTCTGGTAACACCGAGCACTGGAATCGCCGCCATCTCCAAAGAAAGCTACGGGACGAAGCCCCGCCCCCGGTTGGCGGCGACGCTCCAAGACTAGCCAATCGGGTGTAACTTTAATGGCAGACGTCCTCTCTTCCTAGTAAGATTTACCAGCGGCTATCGCGCCCTTTGCATGTCGGGAAATGTAGTTCAGGAGCCATTGCCGGCAGAGGCTGGACAGCGACGCTCTCTCGGAGCACGACGGGAGTTGTAGTTGGGGGACGTCCCGAGAAGGTTCCGGGTGACGCCTTCTGGTCCGGGGGTGGGCGGTTAAAGCGCTCCTTGGCTGAAAGGAGGAGGAACTGGCAACGGGGAGGAGGCTGTAGCAAGGCCTGGAAGGCTGCGCAGTCAGGCAGGGGTTGGGGAGCGGCCATGGAGCGCGTCTGATATGCTGCTGGGGTCGTGACCGCTCGAGGACGGAGGCAGGACCTGGCCAGACCCAGCCTGGAGGCCTCGCCTTCGTTAGGCCTCATCTCCGACGGTCGGGTAGGCCTCACGAGAGGCTCCTTTCCGTGTGGCCGCCTAAGGTTCCTGCCCTGATTTCTGTCCAGGAGATGGCCTCCCCGAGCCCCCCGTTGGAGCCAAAGGTAAGTCGCTTCTTCGGGTATCCCCGCTCTCTCGCTACTACCCTAGCTAGGCCGCGCCACCGCTCCCACCCCCATCTCCGACCGCGGTCTTTTAGGGCCAGCGTAGTGCAAAAAGTACCCCCTACTGCTCTGGGGTGCGGTTCGCGACCACACTGCCAGCCAACAGGCTCCATTTTTTCCCCCCAAAAGCAACTTGGTTAAATCAGCTGGAGAAAATTAGTAATGTTCCAAACTAGCGCTCTCATTTGTGAGTTATTCCAGGTGAGGCATCGTTTTTGATCCTCCGTTGTGTCTTCTGCGTTTGTTACGATGCTTGGAACCAAGGTAGACGCGGAGGGAACTTCATGGAATTAAATTGACCAGTGCGAGCCAGTGCGCATAGAGAACTGGAGCGGGGCAATAAGGTGGGAAAAGCTTGGGGAGGCCGCGCGCGGGGCAGCTTACTAAAATCAGAATGTTAGGACATAACTATTAAACCAGAAAAGCCTGGCCCTTTGGCCCCGCACTACCGAGGACCACGACCCAGGTTAGATACCCTCGAGTCTCAGGTGCCTGTGTTACAGTCAGTTTGCAGAACTGGGCCCCATTTGGAACTCTTTTAAGTTCAAGTGTTCCTTCTAGCCTACCCGGCCCAGATAAGTGACTGCCTCTGCTACTTTCAGAGGCAGAATTGTCCTTGAGACAACAAGAACTGACAGAAATCATACTATTTCAGGGGTTGCTGACATTTGAGGATGTGGCTGTGTTTTTTACCCAGGAGGAGTGGGATTATCTGGATCCAGCTCAGAGAAGCTTGTATAAAGATGTCATGATGGAGAATTATGGAAACCTGGTCTCCCTGGGTAAGAATCTGCTGTTTGCTCTGATTAAAATATCTGAGAGGCTATTAGAAATCAGACTTTGAGAACACTTGGACCAGTACCAGTCCCCAAACTGCTTTGTTCCAAACTTCTGATTCAGACCTTTCAGCCGTTTGATTGTTTCCATGACTCTCATCTCTAGCATCCTTACAGTGACCAGAGCACAAGCCTTTCTGGCTTCCTGTCTTCCTAATCTCATTCCCATATTGCTCTGTACTTTCCCTCCTGGCTCATCCTCCCACTGCTTCCCTCCCACCCTTTTTCACGCTGCCTTCTGGAGCCCCTGTTCCTCTTCACATAATGTTCCTTACCTCTCCTGGCCTTAACTGAAACCTGGCGCTTTCCCAAGGACGCCACTTCTCTGGCGGAGCTGCGCGTTCTCCCACATCCTCTCTCTTCCCCATCCTTTGTATCAAGGCTGGAAGGGAGGAGTTACTGTTCTCCCAGCTTTTCAGTCCTCTTCCCAAAGCATTCCTTTTCCACCTTCAAACAAAAATCTCTCTCTTTTGAGGCCTCAGGAGTTTTGCAGTACCCACTCAGTTCCTTTTCACTCTCATTTGTCAACTTTTTTTTTGGACCTTCACACATAGACTTTATCACGTTTCAGGGTCTTCTCTATGCCAACCCACACAATCGATGGTGCCGTCATTATTTAAGCCTCATTATATCTTGACCATATTGTCTTCAAGTACCCTGCTTTCCATTTTTATTCAGCAACTCACATCAATGATCATTCCCTCAGTTTTGTCGTAATAGGCAAATTTAAACCCCAATATCTTATTCTTTGACCAGTTATTCAGACAATAGACGTTTATTGACTGTAACTAAATAGGGGTGACCAAAACAGACATAATCTCAAGTGGCGGTTACTATAACGTCTTACTTTTCTACATCTACTCCTTTCCTACTAAACCTTAATAATGTTTGTTGTTGTTTTTTTTAGCTGAGCCATCCTGCCACCTGTTGACAGCTCAGCTCGGGTTGGGCATTGAACTGCTGTTGCTCAGAGCTCGCATTCTTGAGCGAGCTCTTAACCAACTGAGCCACTTGGCCGGCCCAATAATGTTTCATTCTTAATAATGTTTCCTGTTCCTTGACTTCTCTATTCTTTCCCCTCCTCATTGAATCCATAGACCTGTATATGAATTATCACCATCATGCTCCCGTGCCCCCTTGTCATTATGCTCTACCCATTTTGCAAACTTCACATCCTTTATTGGTTATGAATCTGCCGTTTCTTCTCTCCTACCTGAGCGGCTAAACGGAGCAGAAGAAATTCTTTAATGGAAAGTATTGATACCCTGTATATATGCCTGGCTTTTCTTCCTTCTAGTCTCTCCACTGGGTTTTTATATATCACCAAGTTTTTTATCCTTGATTTGCTCATTCCCCTGTTCCTTTTAGTGATTATTCCAAAACCAAGAGTTTTCCTTGGGTTCATCACTCAGTAGTGGACCTTACCTTCTGTTTCGTAGAGAAGATGGAGGCCACTAAACATGAACTCTCAACTTTTGTGTCCCTCATCTGCACACTTAAGCCTGCTCCTATCGTCTCACTTCTCTGAGTACTTATAAATCAGCCATACATTTTTTTTTTCCTTATAGCTTCAGTCTCTGTTTGTTCTCTGGTATCTTTATTTTGATGATGGGCATGTTCATGGCTCTTCCAACTGGGGAAAGAAGGAAGAAAAAGAAAAAAGTCTCCTTTGAGCCACAGTCTCCCACTTGCTGCTCCCTGTAACCTGCCACTCGTTCTCTTCACAGCCAATTTTTTTGTCACTGTAATGTGTGTTCTGTACTTTTTTTCCTCCCATCACCTTTAAGCCCCCTTTCTTGCGTCTACGGCTTCCCTTAAATTGTTTAACATTGGTTATAATTGCCAAGTTGTCAAATGCAACAGACTCTTTTTGGACCTTATTTTATTCCACCTGCCTATAGATATTTGAAACTCTTTATTGCTTCCTTTCATTGCCTTGCATTCTCAGACTTTTTCTCAGTCTATATACTTTCCTTGGCAGACCTTATCGACACTCAGGTCATCAGCTATCATTACGTGGTAATAAGTCCTAAATCTTTAACTCCACCTGAGAGAGGCGATGTGGAGCCTAACTGTCTAAGTAAACATCACTAGTTCCACCACTTACTACTAGCCTTATAACCATGGGTGAATTACTTAACTTCTCTGTGCCTCAGTTTTTTAGTTTGTTTTGTTTTGTTTTTTATAAAATGGAAATGATGGTAGCACTCATCTCTTAGGGCTATTGTGAATATTAACTGAACTAATATATGTAAGGCACTTAGAACCCTGATTAGCACTTAGTAAATATAATATAAATGTTGATTGCTGTCATCATCATCATTGTCATTACCTTCTCTGTTGAGCTCCAATTCCTAGTCATTTCCTTTTGGAAACTACATAAGTAACTCATCTGGCAAATCTCAGATAATCCTTCAGGATCTCAAGGGTCTCATCTTCAGAATTAAGCACCCCTTCCACTGTGCTACACTGTATACACTTCTACTGTTGAATATAATCACACTGTGCTATAATCTTTATTTCTCTAACTAGACTGATCTCCATGAGGACAGTAACTGTATTTTTCTAATTTGATTTAATCAAATTTAAAAAAATTTGATTGTTCCAGCACTTAGCAGAGAACCAGGCGTATATTATATGCTTCTTAAATATTTGTGTGATTGAGTGAATATATTTAAGACTCATACCTTTTGACTAGATTGTTGCATTAGCCTGTAAACTAGCACCACCGCTAGTCTCTCATTCTTTTAATGTATTCTCTTTCTTGCCACCAAAGTAATTTTGTGTTACTTAACTTCTTACAGCATCTCATGATTCCTGAGATTTTAAAGGATAAATCTTGATTTCTTATCCTTCATAGTAGGACCTCCCTAATATAGCCCCTGCCTAGCTTTCTAGCTTCACCTATTTCTAGTCCACCATTTCAATCTCCAACAATATCAGTTGCTGATTTTTTTTTTCAATATGCCATGGTGTCTTTGAGTCACTGCCAGCTTTGTCCACACATATGGTATCCTGGTTGATAGAACCAGGCAAATGCCCAGCATTGCCCATCCCTAGTGCTGCAAAATGCAAGTACCATATGGGCAAAGGCACGGCAGTGTGCCCATCTGTGATCTCCTTTCAAGCTCTCTTCTTTATTTTAGCTGAAATACAGATTTTCTTCATTTATTATTTCTCTCTCCACAGTCTTTTCATCCTCCTCTATAGACTATCTCCATTCCTCGATGAGAGCTCCCTTGGTGAGAGATCACTGTTATTTGGCTGTTCCAGTGTAGTGTTTCCTCCACTTTATCTTGTTGCTTTACTTAACACAACTCTCTTCTAGCTTTGTAATTTTGGTTCTTGAGTCATACCTTCCCTTTTCATGCTGATTTTTCTTTAAAAACTATAATAACTACATTGGTAGTACAGCTGACAGCTTGATTTCTCAGTTCTTGATCTTTCGGTCTTTTCAATTGAAATTGACTTCTTCACTTTTAAAGACTTAACTACAGTCTACTGGAACCATATTGGACCATGACAGAATTGGGGACTGCCGTACCTACAAGGTTGTAAACTCATTATCTTATTTGATTATAGTCTCTGCAATTATTTGTTCAACTACTCATTCATTTAATAAGTAGTTATCAAGCACTGTGCTACCCCTAGGAATACAAGTTCTTCTCCATCCTCCCATTCTTTTACCAACAAAACTGTTGTTTTTATACTCTGTTGGATAGCAGGTTTGGCAATTATGGTCCACAGGACAAATCTGTCCTACTGCCTGTTTTTTTGTAAATAAAGTTTTATTGGAACATGGATATGCCCTTTCTTTTTGTATTGTCTTTCATGCTACACTGGCAGAATTGAGTAGTTACAACAGAGACCACATGGCTGACAAAGCCAAAACTATTTGCCATCTGGCTCTTTACAGAAAAAGTGCCAATTCCTATTCTGTCCTAAAGTTCAGCCACTTCCACTTTACCATTACCTTGCCTTCTCTCTTTCCCTAGTTACATTATTCTAAAACTGTTTGGTTGAAGATTATAGAAATCAACCCAAGCTAGCTAGCTTAAGCCAGCAAGAGAAATTATTATAGGGTCATAGATGGCTCATGGACTATATGAGCAAGATTGCAACTGGACATCAGAAAAGGACTTAGAAATTGAATCACTCTCAGAACGTCTGGAATTAATTCTGTTTGCTTTGTTTCTTTCTTCTTGGCAGTCTAGCCTTTCCTCCTGTGTTCACATGCTTTTGTCCTTTTAGCTTCTGACTTGGTAGGTTACAATTCTAGGCACATTCAGACTGACTAACTATTTCAGTTTCAGTTCCAATTTTTTTTTTTAAGATTTTTATTGGGGAATTGGGGGATGGGAACAGCACTGGGGAATTGGGGGAAGGGGAACAGACAGGTTGCTGTCCTTTTGTTCTTCAGTCTAGTTGTGGAGGACGTTGCTTCATTGGCCCAAGTTGGTACCATCATTACGCTCTTCCCAAACAAGGCAGATCAGTCGCTAGCTTCTGGACAGCCGCTCACAGCAGCTGCTGGCCGCTCATGCTGGCTGCTGGCTACACATGGTAGCCCATGGCAACCCACTGCAGCAGAGGCTGCAGCCTACGCTGTCACTGGCGACTCATGGCAGCCCAGCTCCAGGTCGAGCTGTTGTTCAGCATCTTAGCTGTAGAGGGCAGTGTCACTGGCCCGCATATGTGGGATCCGAACTGGAGCCCTCTGGTGTCCCAAGCCAGCTCTTAACCATTGCGCCACTCGGCCAGCCCTCAATTCCAAATTCTAAGGAGAGACTCACTTTGAGTCAACTGTCTAGACCAGAGGTTCTCAACCTTTCACAGGGGTTGCCTAAGACCATCAGAAAACACATATTTTCGATGGTCTTAGGAACCGAGACACCGCTCCTCTATCTGTCTCCAGGCCCACATGCAGATACGCCCACATACAAGTACCCGGTGACCCCTGTGAAAGGGTCGTTCGGCCCCCAAAGGGGTTGCAACCCACAGGTTGAGAACCGCTGGTCTAGACAAATTAGCTATGATCTCAAGATGGGAACATATAATACTAGCATGGCTGATACCCCAGAAGGTGATTATAGCTACCAAACCCTAATTATTTTTATGCCAGTGCCTCTGTGTTTTATTTCCTTTAGGAATATTTTATATTTTATATCTGGTAAAGTAAGTCATTCTTTTGTATTACTTTTCAGGATATACTTGTTTTCATTCTTCTGGTTGAAATTTAGATTCATTGGGGGGTTTTTTAGTTGGTTCATAGGATTTTGATTAGAAGGCATTTAGGTTCAGAGATGGATTTCGAAAGAATTAAGTTCCCAGAAGCAAGTAGGACCCTTACAACACTGAGTCTCTTTAGCAGTTTGGTTAACTATTAACTGTCTTTTATGTTCTTCAGAAAAATTTTATGGACAATTTTTATGGATCTTACACTTTTCTTATTAGATTCATCCCTAGGTTTTATGGTTTTTGTTATGAAGGGCATATTTTATTTTTCTATAATGTTTCTTAACTTGGTAGTAAGAAACAACAGTATTTTATATATTAGTCTTATCATTGCTATTGTATTTTATTTATTTTTTTAGGGATTTTAGGTACACATTCATATCATTTGCAAATAATGATAATTTTTTTCGTATTCCTTTGAGTAAAATCCTTGGAACGATATCTACTGGGTAAACATGAAGCGACTTTCCCTTCTTACGAGGAATTTACAGTCCAGTGGACGATACAGACACAGTTAAGAGTGCACTGTAATAACAGCTATAATTGAGTTAGGGACAAGGACTGGTGATGAAAAAACAAAACACCTAATCTGTCTAGTGGAGTTAGTGAAGGCTTTGTAGAGCAACTATTGCTTTGAATGGAATCTTAAAGAGAAACCAAGAGTTTGCCAGGTCAGTAATTTTGGGGGACATTTAGTAAACAAGATATGCAATGAAATGACATGAAAGACTATAACACAAGCAGTTGGATCAGTTAAAGTGTGATAGAGTGGGTAGCAAGGTAAACTGCAGCTTAGAGACCATGACATGAAGTGCTGAGTATCATAGTGTAAAGAGCTTTGATTTAATCTTAGAAGCGATGGAGTGTTAGTGAATCTACACGTGGTGACGTGAATAGAATTCCATTTCATGAATATCTCTGGATTCAGTGAGGTGGACATAGTGTGGGGGCAGCCTTAAGACCACAGCCAAGGATTGTTAGGTGGATTTCGCAGTAATCCAGGGAAACACGGATGTGAGGGTAAAAAGGAGAAGGAAGGTAAGATGCTGGAGAGTAGAATCATTGATTTTGGTTATTGATTAATGGTAAGAAAAATAGAGAAAGCTAGGATGATTTCCTGCTTTGGGACTTTAGGGTAATGGATGATGGTGCCTCTCAAGAGATGAGTAGGGCTAGAGGCAGACACGAGAGCAGATGATGCTGATCATCTTAATTGTGAGCTCTTTGAGACATCCAAGCGGTGATATCCAGAAAGTGTGTATAGAGTGAGATGGTGTAAACATGGATAACAATAACCTTAAACAGTTGACAAAGGAAGACAAATGCATGAGGGAAATGTATTAGAAAAGGCCGAGGAAGAAGTAGAGAGGGAACTAGAGAAATATAATAGTATAGAAACCAAAAACAAATAGTGTTAAGAAATGGGAGTGAAGGCTGGCTGAGTGGCTCAGTTGGTTAAGAGCTCGCTCAAGAGTTTGAGCTCTGAGCAACGGTGGTTCGATTCCCGGCCCGAGCTGAGCAGCCGCTGAGCTACCAACAGGTGGCAGGATGGCTCAGCTTAAAAAAAAAAAAAAAGAAAAGAAATGGGAGTGATCAACAGTGTCAGATGCTGCTATGTGAAATAAGCACTGAAAAACATTCATTGTATTTGTTATTCAAAAGTCATTGGTAACTTAATGAGAAGTTTCTCTAGATGCTGGAAGCAGAAACCAGATTTCACAGAAGATTGTAGAACAGATTGAATGGGAACAGGATGGGCATGGAAAACATAGTTAGGAAATGGAGAGCTACACATAAGATGTGTGTCACAGGTTGGCTTTCATTAAGGGAAGGATTTCAGGTTCAAGATAAAGTTGGGCCTATTTATGTGTTGGTAGGAAGATGTTAGTTGAGAATAGAGATTGAAGAAAGAGGAAAAAATGGTAATAATTGAACAAGTTCCCAGAGGCAAGTGGGATCAAAAGAGGGTAGATGGATTAACTTTGGATAGGACAGGGATATATATTCATGTACCATTGCAGATAAGTTTATAGGTAGGGGGCAGAAAGTTGAGGGAGTTCTCCTATCCTTTTTCATTTTGTGAAGGAAAAACAGAAAGTGAATTTGAGAGAGAATACTATAAGTAGAAGTAAAGTTTCCAGTAGTTTGTTAGGGAAGACTAAGAGAAGAAGTTTTGGGGGGGGGAATAAAATAGCTTAATGGCTGATATGAAGTAAGTGAAAAAATTCAAAGGTGACTTTACAGTCTAGAAAAGGGGAAGTCTGAAAAGGAAATTGTTTAAGCCAAATATAAATTTGGTAGTGATCAAATCCTCTAATGAGATTATCCTCCAAAAGGCAGCAAGAGATAGAAAATCAGGAAAGCAGTCAGAAGCAGGCTTATGTGTCCTGTATGCCACTCTGTTACATCATAGACCTTTATGTTATCTGTTGCGTCCCGCACGACATGAGCAGTGGGAGAACGAGGGGGGGCGGCAAAGGGTTAAGAAATAAAAGAAACAGCAGTCAAGAGTTAAATGAGCGTGGGGCCAAGGGTTTCCAGCCTCGTGGACTAAGAGCCCCGAATCAGGCTGACACACCGCTTTTATTTCTCCACCTACTCAGAAGTAGCATTGTTCTCTCCACAGTCTGTGAGCCTCATTCCTGAGAACTTGCTCAAGCCAAGTTACCCATGCCTGTAAACTCCGCCTGCTGCAATAAGACAGATGCTCTGCCTTCACATACCCTATATGCAAACGACCCCAGGAAGATAAGATTATTGTGCTGAGGACAGATACTATCACACCATCAGGTCACTTCCCAAGCAGGTTGAGGGAAGGAATGTAGCCACAGAGGTAGAAAACTTCCAGTCTTTTGGGGGGGCAAGTGAGGGTTCATGCCCACCGCCATCAGCCCCGAGATTTCTCCTAATGAATGGCCTTCTCACTACCGTACCTGTCTTAGGTTGTTCCTCCCATGAGGAATCTTACCCATCATTGACTAACTGGCCATCCTTTGGAGCCAAACAGAGAGACACAAGGTGTATGAACAGTGTCCTCAAAAGGGTCAGTTTAGGGTTAAGCGCGGGGGGACAGATGGCCGCACAGCTGCGTGGCAACAGTTATCTTCAACACATGCAAGATTTTCATTTATTAGATGTCATGTAGATTCTCAGTTGGAACAAAGTGTTTCCAACTTGGGTCTTAATATCTTCAGAGATGTGAGAATCATATATACTTGAAGAATGTGGTATGATTTGTGGTAGGTAGTCATAAGCTACCACATACTGCTCTTTTTCTTTGTTCTATTAGCTCTGACCATCATCTTCCTTTATTTTATTCTGTCTTTATATATATCATGGACTCCATGTCACTTCAACCCATTATTTTTGTTAAAAGCCATTTTGTGTCTTGGTATAGGAGCTGCTTTTTACTTAATATTTCCTTTATCATATTATTTTCTTTTTCCATTCATACTCATTGTCCATTCAATGAAGTAGGAAACTTGGTGTCTTATCTCTGAACCCTGACTCATAACATAGTGCTGGAATACTTTTGATTTCAATAAATAAATTCTTATTAATGAATGAATTTTTGCTTCTCCTGGTTTTTATCTTTTATCCTTCTCAGCATCATTTTACGTGTTCCTTTTTGTCAGTTATTTGGTCTATTCACATTCCAATAATGCTATCTCTTTCTAAATTTCCTGAACCTAGTGTTTTCTTTCCATGTTATTCTTTCTTCCTTGATAGATGGTTCATCTCACCACTACTTGTTTAATTCTTTGTCCACCTTACCTTGCATAATTTACTGTTGGTTTACCAGCCCTTCCTCCCAACTCTGCTTGCTCCTGCTGACTTCTTCCTTGCCTCATAAACACTCTTTTCACACTTTTTCTCCAAGAAAAACATTCCATTGCATCAGATAACTAAATAATATTTATATAACTTGTACTCTTTGCCAAGTACTGTTCTAAATGCCTTATGTAAATGAACTAATTTAATCCTCACAACAATACTGTGAGGTAGTAAACTACATTTGATAGATATAATAGATTAATTTATCTGAATTATCTTACTTTTGTGACAGTTTCTCCTTACTAACAAAGAGCTTGGCTGATGTTTCTGTTTTCTATTTATTATTCTAGATGTTTTGAACAGAGATAAGGATGAGGAGCCAACTGTGAAACAAGAAATTGAGGAAATTGAGGACAAAGTGGAATCACAGGGTATAATAGTTACAAGAATCAAAAGTGAAATTGACCAGGACCCCATGCATAGAGAAACCTTTGAACTTGTTGGTAGGTTAGATAAACAGAGAGGAATCTTCTTATGGGAAATACCAAGGGAATCTTTGACCCAGGAACAGAGAATGTTCAGAGGAAACACTAACATTATTCGTAAGAGACCTAACTCAGAAGAGAAATGCCATAAATGTGAAGAATGTGGAAAGGGTTTTGTTCGCAAGGCCCATTTTATTCAACATCAAAGAGTTCATACTGGTGAGAAACCTTTTCAATGCAGTGAATGTGGGAAAAGTTTTAGTCGCAGTTCATTTGTTATTGAACATCAGAGAATTCACACTGGGGAAAGGCCCTATGAGTGTAATTACTGTGGGAAAACCTTTAGTGTGAGTTCAACCCTTATTAGACATCAGAGAATCCATACTGGAGAGAGACCCTATCAGTGTAATCAGTGTAAACAGAGCTTCAGTCAGAGAAGGAGCCTTGTTAAACATCAAAGGATTCACACAGGTGAGAAACCCCATAAATGTAGTGACTGTGGAAAAGCCTTCAGTTGGAAGTCACACCTTATTGAGCATCAAAGAACTCACACTGGTGAGAAACCCTACCACTGTACCAAATGTAAGAAAAGCTTTAGTCGAAATTCATTACTTGTTGAACATCAGAGAATTCACACTGGAGAAAGACCCCATAAATGTGGTGAATGTGGGAAAGCCTTTAGATTAAGTACATACCTTATACAACACCAAAAAATCCACACTGGTGAGAAACCTTTCCTTTGTATTGAATGTGGGAAAAGCTTCAGTCGGAGCTCTTTCCTTATTGAACATCAGAGGATCCACACAGGTGAGAGACCTTATCAGTGCAAAGAGTGCGGAAAAAGCTTCAGTCAACTGTGCAACCTTACTCGTCATCAGAGAATTCACACAGGAGACAAACCCCATAAGTGTGAGGAATGTGGAAAAGCCTTTAGTAGAAGCTCAGGTCTTATTCAGCATCAGAGAATCCACACCAGAGAGAAGACTTATTCATACAATGACACTAAGGAAAGTTTTGATCCAAATTGCAGTCTTGTTATACAACAGGAAGTCTTCCCTAAGGAAAAATCTTATAAATGTGATGAATGTGGGAAAACTTTTAGTGTCAGTGCTCATCTTGTACAACATCAAAGAATCCACACTGGTGAAAAGCCCTACCTGTGTACTGTATGTGGGAAAAGCTTCAGTCGGAGCTCATTTCTTATTGAACATCAGAGAATCCACACTGGTGAGAGACCCTATCTGTGCAGACAGTGTGGCAAAAGCTTTAGTCAACTTTGTAATCTTATTCGACATCAGGGTGTTCACACAGGTAATAAACCCCACAAATGTGATGAATGTGGTAAGGCCTTCAGTCGGAACTCAGGCCTTATTCAGCATCAAAGAATACACACAGGAGAAAAGCCTTATAAGTGTGATAAGTGCGACAAAAGTTTTAGTCAACAGCGCAGCCTTGTCAACCATCAGAAGATCCATGCAGAGGTGAAAACCCAAGAAACCCATGAATGTGATGCTTGTGGCGAAGCCTTCAATTGCCGCATGTCTCTTATTCAGCACCAAAAATTGCACACTACTTGGATGCAGTAAACCTAGAGAAGTATTTAAGCTTACTTTGAGCTACCCAAGTGCAGTTTCAGTGTTGCTCAACATGAGTCAGATTTAATGGTAAAGCAAATTCTCCTTGGCCTCAGGCAAAGGTTTCTAAAGATTCCATGAATAGCTGCCCACAGGCATTTGAAGCCTTCCATTACTCTTTGTTTTGGCGATCATAGAGAAACTCTAATCATATTTTCAAAATAAATCAGCAGAGAGGTTAAATGCAGGCTCAGAGTACCTGGTTATAATTAATAAAGAGAATGACAAAGTTGCATTGGTACAAAGGAGCTGGAAGCAGCTGATGTTAGAAAACTGGAATAATAGTTCAGAGTCCTCTGCCACCATCTTATGTGGTGGTTCTTTCATTTCCATAATGTGTTTGGCTATGCATGCCAAAGTCCAGTCATTGAGCATATGATGAAGTTTTCAAGGAAACAGCCCAGATTTTTTTTTTTCCTTTTGAAACTGGTATCCAGAGTATTTATGTTGTTTCAGCCAGTTGTTTGGCACTTGAGTTAAAGGAAGCAGTTCCAATGCCTTGCGGTTCCCAGATCTGTGAAATGAGTGGACCAGTAATTTTACATGTAAAGATTATGTGAGTAACAAACCTAGCAAAGGTGTTACCAAGGAACTTTTGGGAGTGCCTTTTATTATTTTTTTTTCCCTAGATGGGCCCAAAAAAGTGGAGGAAGACACTTCTTTTGTGCTCTCCTATCTATGAAAGATATTTGTAGCCCTATACAAATAATCTTATTCCTTCACTACCAGTAGCATGTGAAAGTGTACATATTTTGATTGTTAAGAATTGGAAATAAAAAGACCTGGAGTCTGTTAGGAAGCTGAGATATTTTGGTATTGCTTTGGTTTTTATGGTAATTAGACTTTGCATGCCATTTTAAAATCCTTATTTCTGGTTCTAGGGCTTCCCTTAGTTAATGGTTATTATAAACCTGTTGATTCCTCTGTTCTAGTCATTAAACCTATTTTGTTTTTTGCTTTGTGTAAGAGTTCTTTATTTAGTGTAAAATCTATCCTGTCAAATCTATTACTATGTTTAAAAATTAGAATTAGGGATTTAAATGGAATTGCTCTCACCTGTTCTACCTGTGATACAGTAGAGATGTCTAGAGGTAAGTGGAGATGTGGCTATGCTGCACAGGGAAGATATCTGGGTTAGAGATTGATTTAGGAATTCACCAGTGTTTAGGCACAGAAATAAATTAAGATTTAATTGAATTAAGATTTAAATGAATTAAGGATTAGATAAAGCAAAAAAGGGGAAAAAAATCCAGAGATGGACTCCTGAGGCCCACTTTTGTTTAGTGGGTGAGCAAGATGCAAAGGAGACAGGGAGGAACATCCAGAGGTGTGGAAAACCCAGCATGTAGTGATGGCTGCTATAGGAAAGTGACCTGGAAGAGGACTGGACACATCAAGGAAGAGTTAAAGAATGTCCTTTAGATAATTAGAGAGTCAATGATTTCTATAAAAACAGCTTCAGAATTTGGGGAGAGCCACTGTTCAGAGAGTCAACTATTGTCTGGCGAGTGTAAATCATCAGTTCGCAAATACCATCAATTCATGACCTACATTCAAATGGTAGAAATAAGGACAATATAGTATCTGAAAAAAAGAAATTGGTAAAGACTTCATTCTGAAATTATGTCTCTCCCCTTTTTAATTAAAAAGTCTTTAGGAAATAGTAATTGTAGGGGATGGTTTGTTGAATGTATGTCTTCAGTAAAAAAATTGGCAACCTTTTTAAAATTCTTACCCACTTGGATTGTCGGAAAAGTCATGACGTATTTTTCTGTTTTTCATTGCAAAAATGCATCATGACTTTTCCAACAGCCCAATAATTGTACTGGTCTATAAAAGGTGGATTACTTATTTGTGAATATAAAAAGGGATATAGATCGAGATTAAAGAAAAATTTGAGTATTTTTCCATTCTGGAAAGATAGCTACTTGAGGGAAAGGTTGAAAATAAAGGAAATCAGGTGGAAAATTTATTATATAAGCTAAAATTATAGCACTAATGGGAGATTTTTCTTTGATGGCTTTTTTCATTGGGAGAAAAATGACAGATTTTGTGTGTGTGTGTGTGTGTGTGTGTGTGTGTGTATGGGGATAAGAAATAGAATACACTTGTGACCATTTTCAAAAAGTCTTAGTCATATTCTGAGAATTGGAAGGAAGAAGGGTGGACGCTGTTAGGTGTAAGAATTAAGAGCCTCATAAATAGTAAAGGTCTGGAGTAGCAGTGGGGAGAATGGAAAAACTAAACAAAAACTTGGCGAGGGTTTATGGGGGTTTGTTTAGGGCTCTGCTGAAATAAACAACTGTGAACTTTTAATGGAATTATTCAAATTCCTTGTGGAAATAACACATGGAACAATTTGAAAAGCGAATTAAAGTAGATCATGCAAAATATTAATGAGTAGATGTATTCAGGCCTTTCAGAGAAACCAATAAACGAGAGAGAATAGCAATTCGCTCATGTGATTATGGAGGCCAAGAAGTTCCACAACACACCATCTGTAAATTGGAGAACCATGAAAGCCCGTGGTATTCAGCCTGAGTCCAAAGGTCCAAGAGCCAGGAGCGCTGATGTCCAAAGACAGAATGGATGCCCAGCTTAGGCAGAAAGCAAACTTGTCCTTCCTCCACCTGGTTCAGTTCAGGCCCTCAGTGAATTGGATGATACCTACCAGCGTTGGTGAAGGTGGTCTTTACTCAGTCTACAGATTTGAATGTTAATCTCTTCCAGAAACACCCAGAAATAATGCTTTACCAGTATCCCTTACCCCAGTCAAGTCAACAAAATTCACCACCACAGTGGAAAACATTAAAACAAGCAGATAAAAGGAATCTGGTAGCAAAAAAAAAAAATCACTGTAAATAGACCATTTCTCTGGTTTTGATGAGTGAGACATTTCATGTGGTTTCCTAAAGGAGGATGTCATCAGCAAACCTAGTGGGGATACACAGCGTACACAGTTAAGCTGATGTTTGCATTCTAAATTTCAACTTTTTCTTTAGTCCAGATATTCCAGTCACTTTTTAAGTCACTGTTTGTAATCAGTATTTGATCCCATTCACCTTCAAAAGTTGTGGCTTTGGGTGGTTGGTGGATGTGGGTGGGTTGGTTTCTTTTTAATTAAGGCCGCTATAACCATGATGCATGGACAAAGGACAGATATACTTATTTACTGCCCAAATGGTACAAGTTCAATTAACATGTATTTTTTTAAATACCTGTCAGGTGCTATATTAATGCTGTAAGTACAAGTTGTATAAAGCAGCCCTTTATTCTCAAGGAGACTTGAGGAAGTGAGTAGTAAGCCAAATGTATTCCATAGCATAAAGGGGGAAAATCACCTAATTTTCCGAAACACTGAGTCAATACATTTTGCACAATTAAAACAGTGCATATCTCTGCCTGTGCTACTTCCTGTTCAGGAGTCATGTTCTCAAGAACACTCCTTAGGTCAGTCCAATGGCTAAGGTAAAGTCCCACATCACATGACAGTCATTGTATCCCTGGAACCAAGAAGTGCACTGTGACTTCTCTAGCCTGTAAGTTCCCCCAGGGTAAAACCAGGGCAGGGAAAGGAAAAGTTGGAAGTGGCTGCAGAAAGATGCCTTGACCTTGGATAACTTAAAAGGGCAGGGTAGATTTCTCTGACACCTGAGCCCTTGGGCTGTGGCCTAGTCCTGGTGGTTCTGGCTGCCAGAAAAATTGGTGCTATCTTTAGAAGAGGCTCTATATTTCATTGTGCCATCATGCTCAAAGAGCCAAGTCTGTGCATGTATGCAAGCCTCTTTGAGAACTAGAAGTAGAATTATTGGGTTGTTGGAAAAGTCATGAAGTATTTTTTCTGTTTTTCATTGCAAAAATGCATTATGACTTTTCCAACAACCCAATATTTTGAATTTTTATTTGTCCCAGTACTTGCCTCTCGATTTGGAATAAAACAGACACTTTATTAGGGTGGTAAATGGCTCTGCTGCAAAAGGAGAGTTTTGTTGTTTTCCCTGGTGTTACAATGTCATGTCCACTCACTGACTTCCACCAACATGGGGCTAGGATTGCTATTAGACACACTCAGCTGGCTCCCAACTTCCTCCCAATCCTCTGCATTCTAACAATATAATTTTCAGCAATACTCTTTTATCGTGTTATTCCCTGCACACAAAAAATTATTCACATTTCCTTACTTCTCATGACTTCAAGGCAAGACTTTCCATTCTTGGGCAACCTCCGCTTCCCCTGCACGGTGCCACTACATTTGGTCTCACTATTCTAGTCTAGTCTCAACATACATAATCTGTACTCTAGTCAGGACACAGTTCATTCATCTTCATTCTTGAGTGCCTTTACAATTCTTCAAGAGCCAGCTGACAGGGAAAAAATAGTATTCACGACATATATCACGACATTTATATATCATACAATATTGGTAACCTCACAACAGCTGTTTTATGATGAGGAGACAGGCTCAGAGGGAGTATGTTTCCCAAGATCATGTAACTAGCAACAAACTGCCTGCAACTCACTCTGCCTTTGTAAAGCCTTCCTTCCCTTGGGATCTCAGCACCTGGCCTACACCACTGCCATTTAGCACATTCTTGTGTGCCATTTTGTTTCCTAACTATATCCTTGTCTTCCTTATCTCAATGGGAAGCATACAAGGCCCATGCAGTATCTTCACAGTGCTGAGTGAGCGAGCATACAGTAGGTGTTGAATGGATACTGGGTGACTGATTTTCTATGTTTATGTATGCTGATGCCCTGTACTAAATGTTAGACTATTTTAGGGGGCTTGTTACAGCCAGAAAGCCATGTTTATTTGAGTGATGGAAAAAGAGCTGTGCTGAGCTGTGCTGATGCTCGTATCTCTTAATTCATCCTTTCAGGAAAACGGTCTTAGGTAGGGAACTGGTATTATATGAGCCCTCCAGGCTCTAACAAGCATGGGTAACTCATCTTTTACCCTAGAAGTATGGCAGATATTGTTCTAAAAACAGGTCCAGAGCTCTTTCTCTGAAGGCCTTGAGGGCCTGTGTTTTGAAAGTCAGAATTTTTCAGAGTTTAGAGAGCAAATATAGTGCTTATGCTATATATGGTATAACTCCCTCTGCAGGGTCTGAGTCAGCACCTACAATCAGACACATTAACACCTCTGCATCCCATCAAGTGGAATAAAGATGACAGCCTCGAGTCAGGTGTTGCCACCAAATAATTTGCTGTGAACTTTTCGGTTTTCAGAGCTTTTTGGATTTCAGAATTATGGGTAAGGGATTGTGAGTCTGTTATTGAGATGTATTGACTCATTTAATTTCTCAATAATTTGTGATACTGTACGTTTCTTAATTTGGAGATGAAAAACTGAACCACAGAAAGGTGGCATAATGTGTCCAAAGTCACATGGCTAGTGAGTGGCAGAGCCAGCATTTGAACCTAGACCGTCTGACTCCAGAATCTCTGCTTTTCACCACCGTGAGTACCACCTCCCAAGAGGATTTTGCAATTCACTAGCCTAAGTCTCACCTACTGGTTTTGTGACCTTCAACAACTTCCTTTGTACACTGAGCCCCAGTTTCCTCTGCTGTTGCTATGAGTGAAATGTAGGTGTCTCCGGAGTCTTTCACTCCAGGGAGCTAAATCAGATGGACTTGAAGTCCCATTTCTGCTTTGCCTAAAGCCTGCTCCAAGATGTCTGCAAGTTTCTAGAGGCTTATATTCTCACTGTCATAGTCGGCTTCTGCTAAACTCACATCATGAATCGTTATGAATCGTCTCATTATCTTGTTTTGTAAAGCATGATGTAGAGTCATATGTGAAACTTGGCTCTTCCTGTCAAGAAGATTGCTTGATATCTGTCTCCCTTCTTCACAGTACTTTGGTCACCTCCTCACAATTCCCTATCGCCCTCATTTCTCCGGGGCCTTCTCCCTTCCCTCCCTCCTCTCACCTTCCTTTTCAGAGCAAAAGCAA